AGCCCCCAGCACTGTCTCGAATATGTGGCGGCAAGATCTTGGGCCAAGGAAGTAAAGGAGAATCCGACGGAGAGCCACCGGATTGCCTCGTCGTTCGGCGGCGTCTAGTGAGTTTCCTCTTCCCTCTTCCCTCTTCCTGTAGACCGATTCTAGGTTTAGGGTTAGGTTTTTTGGCATTGTTAATTGGTGCTCTCTTAATTGTGATTTAGTTGTGGTTGATTTGTAGTTAACAGAGTAGCTAGTTGACAAAGTAGTTAACAGAGTAGCTAGTTGATGATGTAGTCAGTAGAGTAGTTAGCAGGGTATTGTACTTGGAGGGATCAGTTTGCATTGGTTTGATAGTGAAGTTGACTAGTTTTCAGAACCTGACATTGGTTTTCAGAAGGTGTTTGTGGTTTTCAGAGTGTACTGTACTGTATTGTAGCAATCATAGTGTTGATTACTCTGTTTTAGTGCTCTGTTCTAGGAATTATGCATTTTTTACAGTACATTGGTGCTCTGTTTTAGTGCTATGTTAATTAAGCTATTTTAATTATTTGAGTGTATTTTGAACGATGATGTTTGGGAAGTTAGAATGCACTTTCATGACAGAGACAACTTGGAGAGATCAGTTTGCATTTCAGACATAACATATTATAATTTGGTTGCCCTAATAGAGTCAGAGGGATATGGGCTTAATGATTTCATGTATTTTGTGAGGGATCCTGGTGTGGGGATTACAGGAATGGATGAAATTTGTTATGATGATAAGGTGGATGAAATGCTTGACCATATTGCTAACAATGATCAGAATGTACTGAACTTTACAATGGTTAGGGGCACTGATTCAAGACCTGCAGATTTGAACTCAGGCTATCTGGTTGAGGAGCAGGTTCCTTTGAGCCATATAGGAGAGAACCCTGTGTATGTAGTAAATTCCTTCTGGTGTTCTCTTAAGATCACCACCAAAAAGTATAATACAGAGTCAGCCAGAGCCATTGCAGTTCTACACCACACAGCAGAACACAAACCATGATCTGGATACAGATGCTGCCATGGATCAATGCAATGCATCAGATCAGGATGAACTGGAGACATTAATGGAGTTGAAGAGGAGAACAAAGATTGCCATATTTAGGAAACATAAGATTGGAGCTGAGCATGTAAATAAGGTTAAGCAGAAGCTACCAATTCTTCTAACTGAAAATGATTCAGATCTGGATGCAAATGAGGACTATCTTCAGAGGCTTAATGAGATGAGGAAGCAAAGAGAGGATCCACTCATTCATTTTGATTGAGACACTGATGTGGATGAAGTGTATGAGGAAGATGAGGAAGGGCAGCATGTGGAGGTGGAGCAAGAGGAGCAGGTGCACCAAGAGGAGCAGGTGGAGCAAGATGAGCAGGTGGAGCAGCAAGTGGTGCCTACAAAGAAGAAGAAAGCTAGAAAAGGGCCAACAGCGAAGTCACATTCTAGCTTGGAGCAGAGATTTGACGATGTTTGGGCACCATCATCAGATGAGGAGGCAGATCTTGATGTTTTGAAGCAGGAATATGATGATGGAGCTGAGGAAGTACAATTTGTTCTGCCCAATGGAAGGAAGAGCAGATCATAACTAATAAGTACCATATTACATGATAGTGCTTAATGCTAAATAGGTACATTACATAACCATAATTCAGATATTACTAGATCATTCATCTAATAGTAGTCATTACATAACCATAATTATAGTACTCATCATCCCATAACCATGCTGGTAGTACTAATAAGCAACATATTACATTATACTGCTCATTCATCTAAGATGGCCTTGATCCCATTCAGCTTCAGCTTGGTCTGCTCCACAACCTTCTCAAGCTCATTAATGTGGGCCCGCAACTTAATATTCTCTTCAGCAAGCTTCAACTTCATGTTCCTAATGACATTGGCTTGAGCAATTGTCAGGTTCTTGAGCATGCCATACTTCTCCTGCAACTTGTTCTCATCAGGTTTGTTCTGCATCTGACCTCTCTCCATCTGAGCCCTCTGATCCTGGGCATCCAAGAGGCCGTTGACATCTTCAACCAAACTCTCATAACTTGTCTGCAACTTGATCTTCTGTTGTGTCAGATTGTGAACAACAAATGAGCTTTCCAGATTGTCCTCAATCTTGCTCCTCCCGCACTCTTCATACTTATCCCACAACTTGGTCAATGCATTCTCCAGTGTAGCTGGCCAAAATGGATCAACCCATTCAACTAGCCCACATTTTCTTCCCTCCTGTAATATTAGTGTTAAACAGGTATCAAGTAACACAATGCTATAAATTAACAAATGGTGTAAAGTGCTCACTAATCCACATGCTACAAAGTAACAAACAAGTATAAAGTAACATAATGAGTTAAAAAACAGGTATGAGCTAGCTATATGACACAATGAGTTAAACAATTACAATGTAGTGCTCACTAATCCACATGCTATAAAGTAACAAGTCTCAATCAGTGCTCCCAACCCTATGCACATACTGGCATATAAACAATGAGCTCACTAACCCACCACTATCATAGAAAATACATAACTAATTAACAACCTAACTAACATGCCAGATCTGCTGACAACACTCTGCACATGCTCACATATAAACAATGACCTCACTGAGCAACTAGCACACCAGATCTGCTAACTATAAAATCAGTACTAAATAATGACCAGATTAGCATCAATTTGGCACATACCTTCACAACACAAGCAAGGAACCTCCTGCTAGTATGGATGCCCTGGAAAGCAACACACCTCTCTGCTGGCAGGGAGTGTTCATTGCACAAAACATCAGGTTCAGTGCCCTCGAAATCGGAGTCATCCATGGTCTCAGGGATGTGGAGGTGCAAAGGAAAGGCAACAAAATTTCAGATCAAGCTCAACAGAAAAATCCCCAATTTGCAACCCTGACCATAGCTTGAGCTCGAGCAACTCACCTTGATGATGCCCTTGTCTGAAGCTGAGTCAGCATACTGGTGAGAGTTCTCGCTGCTGTCGTCATCAGACCAAGACACCATGGCGACGCGGCGGCGACGGCGGTCGGAGATGTGGGAGGGGGTGGCGGCGGCGAACGAGCGGGAGCAAAGAGAGGGAGAAGGACAAGAGAGAGTGAAGGCTGGGGGGTGGGCTTGCACCGCTTCGGGGGTGTTTGACCCGCCCGGCTCGAACCGGTGCGCCAGCGGCATGTAACGCCGTCTAACGGCGTTGCCGTGTGAACATTGCTGCCACATCGACGGATGAGGGCCCCCCTGTCATAAACGCACTTAAAATGGTCCAAACGAGCAACCAGTGTTTTTTGCAAAATATTATGAAAAAATTAATGCTTTTTGGCACAATTTCGTATATGTGTGGTTCCTACAAACCTAGCCTGAAGTGTTGATGTTTTTTACAATTCACTCTCACGAGGCCGAGTAGGCCGCCGCTGCTGAGTGCTGACCGCCACTAGCATGCGTCTCCTCCCGCCCCTCATCTTCTGCTGCCCTCCTCTCCTGGGGATCCGGCCGTAGCATGCTACAGGCACCTCATCTTGTCACTGCGTTCACCCTCCCCAGCTCCCCACTTTCCCTACCAGGCTGCCACCTCCAGCTATGACGCCCCGTGCCGCGTTCAACGTCCCCGGCATTCGCCGCACCAGAGACCTGCGGTCAAAACTCGAAAGCCAAGTCAGTCCCCAACCCGGCGCATCACCGCGAGCTACCCCGACGGAGCTCCACCTGATGGTAACTTATTTCTTGGCGTACTTTTTTGTGAGAATTTCTTAGCATACTTGCTGTTAACCCTTGTCTCTCGCCCCGGCAGTGCTCGCCAATTTCAGTTTCGTTGTAGACTTGTAGTTGTGAACCCTTGCTTGTTGATTGTGGCTGTACTTGTGAACCCTTGCTTAACGGCAAGGGTGCTGGATGGTGAAATTTGAATATCTCTGGCAGTAGATTTGACTGGTTGCCGTGCAAGCCCAAGTCCTCGGATCCACATGGCGCAGATTTTCTTCGTGACGACAGTGACCGAGACATGCGGCAGCTGGGTTTCTCTGCACTTGATTCAGTCAGGCAACACTGCCCCGGATGTAGCTTGTGAGATATTTCTAGTTTCCTGATTTCAATACGCCGCGGAGACCTCGCGGTCTTGTGTCACTTGCCTTTCCCCTATCAATCTAGGCTGGACTTTGTGTGGACAACCGGATACAAAACTGGTGCCAATGTGACAAGCCACATCAGGAATACCAAAACTCTGAGACAGTACTTCAGCTCCTACCTCACACATTTGATCCATCCAAGCAAACAGTCTAAGGCATGTTCGTAGTAGTTCATACTATATCTCCTTACTTTCCTCTTCACAAGCATGTGCAGAAGGCCCAATGGGCATGACTCTGCTCCCTGTTTTCGCCCTCCTATTACTGATTTGTTTCTACAACTCCGATGATCGCCTAACACCTAAAAAGCCACTCTCCGTTAGCAACAGGCTCGTCTCAAATGGTGGCATCTTTGCTCTTGGCTTCTTCTCCCTGCAAAACTCAACTGCAAACTCATATGTCGGCATATGGTACCACAACATCCCCGAGCGAACATATGTCTGGGTCGCAAACCACGACAACCCTATCACTGGCAGCTCCTCTGGTAAGTTTGTTCTGACCAACAGCTATGATCTTGTCTTGTTAGACTCCAAAGGAAGCACTCTTTGGACAACCACGAACAACATCACCACTGAAGCCCCCGGAGCTGCTGCCATGCCGCTGGACTCTGGGAACTTGGTCATCAGGTTGCCGAATGGCACAGATATATGGCAGAGCTTCCATCACCCAACCGACACCATTCTCCCGAATATGAGTTTACAGCTAAGCAACAACAACAACCTCTCCACGCACCTGGTTGCCTGGAAGGGCCCTGATGACCCATCAACGAGTGACTACTCCTTGTGTGGTGACTCGAGCCTCCAGATCCTCATTTGGAATAGGACGAGGCCATACTAGCACAGGGTTGCGCTGGACGGCGTATTGGTCTTCGCCATGTATCAGAGCAAATCAGGTCCCATAATGTCCCAAACAATTGTCAACAGAGATGGTGAGTTCTACTTGACGTACACAGTCTCTAATGGCTCAGCGAGCATGCGCATGGTGCTGCACCACACGAGCATGGTGAAATTCCTGGCGTGGAATAGCAACTCATTATCTTGGGAGGTTTTCTTTGAGCGCCCTGGTTATAGCTGTGATCGCTATGCCTCATGCGGCCCATTTGGCTACTGTGATGCCACAGAGGCGGTTGCGACGTGCAAGTGCCTTGATGGATTTGAACCTGTTGGTCCTGACTTTTCCCTAGGATACCAGAGAAATAAGGAGATGCGTTGTGGCCAAGGAGATAGTTTCATTACCTTGCTTAACATGAAGACGCCCGACAAGTTCTTGTACATCAGGAATAGAAGCTTTGACCAATGCGCAGAAGAATGCAGCTGCAACTGCTCATGCACCGCATATTCTTATGCTAACCTGAGTAATCTCGGTGTGACTGTAGACAATTCGAGGTGCTTAGTTTGGATGGGAGAGCTTGTTGACATAGAGAAGCGTGGTGATGGTCTTGGGGAGAATTTGTACCTCCGGATTCCCAGCTCGTCTGGTATTTGCTCATGTTGCCCACCTTGTTGCTTATACTCTGTGTTGGATTGGCTACTAAGTACTAACATAAGATTATGTATGTGGCTTATAAAAGTATACCACTAAGTTTACTAAGGTGGCTACTATACATTTAAAGTATGTGGTAGTTACAGTTATTTTCAGTTCAGACTTTCTTCCGGATTTCTGTCCTCCTGTTACAGTGCGAGGTCACATAACGAAATTTACCGTTGGATGAAGATCATAGGACTTAGAATAATATATTTTGTTCTTGCATATATTATCAGTCAAACTAATACCTGGTCTGTCCACTACTACCAGCTATGTTCTTCCTACCTTGCATCAAAAAAAGTCATGTTTTTCATATTCTACTTCTCTATAATCCTATCATTCGGCATCGCCTCTAACACATGAGGGAAACCTTAACCGCGTTGATGTCACAACCTTCTTCTTGTAGACGTTGTTGGGCCTCCAAGTGCAGAGGTTTGTAGGACAGTAGCAAATTTCCCTCAAGTGGATGACCTAAGGTTTATCAATCCGTAGGAGGCGTAGAATGAAGATGGTCTCTCTCAAGCACTAGTTCGGCGAAGAGATGGTGATACAAGTGGTATATGGATAGTAGATATGGGTATTTGTAATCTGAAATTATAAAAACAACAAGGTAACTAATGATAAAAGTGAGCGTAAACGGTATTGCAATGCTAGGAAACAAGGCCTAGGGTTCATACTTTCACTAGTGTAAGCCCTCTCAACAATACTAACATAATTGGATCATAAAACTATCCCTCAACATGCAACAAAGAGTCACTCCAAAGTCACTAATAGCGGAGAACGAGCGAAGAGATTATGGTAGGGTACGAAACCACCTCAAAGTTATTCTTTCCAATCAATCCGTTGGGCTATTCCTATAAGTGTCACAAACAGCCCTAGAGTTCGTACTAGAATAACACCTTAAGACACAAATCAACCAAAACCCTAATGTCAACTAGATACTCCAATGTCACCTAAAGTATCCGTGGGTATGATTATACGATATGCGTCACACAATCTCAGATTCATCTATTCAACCAACACAAAGGACCTCAAAGAGTGCCCCAAAGTTCTACCGGAGAATCACGACGAAAACGTGTGCCAACCCCTATGCATAGGTTCATGGGCGGAACCCGCAAGTTGGTCACGAAAACATACATCAAGTGAATCATGTGATATCCCATTGTCACCACAAATATCCACGGCAAGACATACATCAAATGTTCTCAAATCTTTAAAGACTCAATCCGATAAGATAACTTCAAAGGGGAAACTCAATTCATTACAAGAGAGTAGAGGGGGGAGAAAACATCATAGGATCCAACTATAATAGCAAAGCTTGCGATACATCAAGATCGTATCACCTCAAGAACAGGAGAGAGAGAGAGATCAAACACATAGCTACTGGTACATACCCTCAGCCCCGAGGGAGAACTACTCCCTCCTCGTCATGGAGAGCACCGGGATGATGAAGATGGCCACTGGAGAGGGATTGCCCCCTCCGACAGGGCGCCGAAATGGGTCTAGATTGGTTTTTGGTGGCTATGGAGGCTTCTGGCAGCGGAACTCCAGATCTATTGTCTGTTCTGGAAGTTTTAGGGTACGACGATATATATGGGTGCAGGAAGTACGTCGGAGGAGCCATGGGGGCCCCACGAGGCAGGGGGGCGCGCCCCAGGGGAGTGGACGCGCCCCCACCCTCGTGGGCAGCCCGTTTCTCCCCTGACGTGCACTCCAAGTTCCCTAGGTTGCTTTCCTTCCAAAAATAACTTCTCCAGTTGATTTCGTTCCGTTTCGACTCCGTTTGATATTCCTTTTCTTCGAAACACTGAAATAGGCATAAAACAGCAAATCTGGGCTGGGCCTTCGGTTAATAGGTTAGTCCCAAAAATAATATAAAAGTGGAAAATAAATCCCAATATTGCCTAAAACAGTAGATAATGTAGCATGGAGCAATCAAAAATTATAGATACGTTGGAGACGTATCAAGCATCCCCAAGCTTAATTCCTGCTCGTCCTCGAGTAGGTAAATGATAAAAAGATAATTTTTGAGGTGGAATGCTAGTTGGCATAATTTCAATATAATTCTTCTTACTTGTGATATGAATATTCAGATCCGAAAGATTCAAGACTAAAGTTCATATTGACATAAAAATAATAATACTTCAAGCATACTAACTAAGCAATTATGTCTCTTCAAAATAACATGGCCAAAGAAAGTTATCCCTACAAAATCATATAGTCTGGCTATGCTCCATCTTCACCACACAACATATTTAAATCATGCAAAACCCCGATGACAAGCGAAGCAATTGTTTCATACTTTTGATGTTCTCAAACTTTTTCAATCTTCACGCAATACATGAGCGTGAGCCATGGACATAGCACTATAGGTGGAATAGAATGGTGGTTGTGGAGAAGACAAAAAGGAAAAGATAGTCTCACATCAACTAGGTGTATCAACGGGCTATGTAGATGCCCATCAATAGATATCAATGTGAGTGAGTAGGGATTGTCATGCAACGGATGCGCTAGAGCTATAAATGTATGAAAGCTCAACAAAAGAAACTAGTGGGTGTGCATCCAACTCGCTTGCTCATGAAGACCTAGGGCATTTTGAGGAAGCCCATCATTGGAATATACAAGCCAAGTTCTATAATGAAAGATTCCCACTAGTATATGAAAGTGACAACATAGGAGACTCTCTATCATGAAGATCATGGTGCTACTTTGAAGCACAAGTGTGGTAAAAGGATAGTAGCATTGCCCCTTCTCTCTTTTTCTCTCATTTTTTTTATTTTTTTATTTGGGCCTTCTTTTTTTATGGCCTCTTTTTTTATTTGGGCTTCTTTGGCCTCTCTTTTTTTAATTTATTTATTTTCGTCCGGAGTCTCATCCCGACTTGTGGGGGAATCATAGTCTCCATCATCCTTTTCTCACTGGGACAATGCTCTAATAATGATGATCATTACACTTTTATTTACTTACAACTCAAGAATTACAACTCGATACTTAGAACAAGATATGACTCTATATGAATGCCTCCGGCGGTGTACCGAGATGTGCAATGACTCATGAGTGACATGTATGAAAGAATTATGGACGGTGGCTTTGCCACAAATACGATGTCAACTACATGATCATGCAAAGCAATATGACAATGATGAAGCGTGTCCTAATAAACGGAACTGTGGAAAGTTGCATGGCAATATATCTCGGAATGGCTATGGAAATGCCATAATAGGTAGGTATGGTGGCTGTTTTGAGGAAGGTATATGGTGGGTGTATGGTACCGGCGAAAGTTGCGCGGTACTAGAGAGGCTAGCAAAGGTGGAAGGGTGAGAGTGCGTATAATCCATGGAATCAACATTACTCATAAAGAACTCACATACTTATTGCAAAAATCTAGAAGTTATCAAAGCAAAGTATTACACGCATGCTCCTAGGGGGATAGATTGGTAGGAAAAAACCATCGCTCGTCCCCGACCGCCACTCATAAGGAAGACAATCAATAAATAAATCATGCTCCGACTTCATCGCATAACGGTTCACCATACGTGCATGCTACGGGAATCACAAACTTCAACACAAGTATTTCTCAAATTCACAACTATTCAACTAGCATGACTCTAATATCACCATCTCCATATCTGAAAACAATCATCAAGTATCAAACTTCTCTTAGTATTCAACACACTCATAAGAGAATTTTATTATTCTTGAATACCTAGCACATTAGAATTTTAAGCAAATTACCATGCTATTTAAGACTCTGAAAATAATCTAAGTGAGGCATGAGAGTTCATCTATTTCTTCAAAATAAAACTACGACCATGCTCTAAAAGATATAAGTAAAGCACTAGAGCAAATGACAAACTACTCCGAAAGATATAAGTGAAGATCAATGAGTAGTCGAATAATTATGCAACTATGTGAAGACTCTCTAACATTTGATAATTTCAGATCTTGGTACTCTATTCAAACAGCAAGCAAAGCAAAATAAAATGACATCTAAGAATAGCAAACATCATGTGAAGAAGAAAAAACTTAGGATCAACCGATACTAACCGATAATTGTTGAATAATAAAGGTGGGATGCCAACCGGGGCATCCCCAATCTTAGATGCTTGAGACTTCTTATTCCATAGTCCATCTAATCCTTACCCAAAACTTGAAAACTTCACAACACAAAACTTAACAGAAAACTCGTAAGCTCCGTTAGTATAAGAAAATAAATCACCACTTCAAGGTATTGTAATGAACTCATTATTTATTTATATTGGTGTTAAACCTACTGTATTCCAACTTCTCCATGGTTTATAAACTATTTTACTAGCCATAGATTCATTAGAATAAGCAAACAACACACGAAAAACAGAATCTGTCAAAAACAGAACAGTCTGTAGTAATCTGAATCAAACGTATACTTATGGAACTCATAAAATTCTAAAATAAATTGCTAGACCTGAGGAATTTATATATTAATCATCTTCAAAAAAAATTAGCTAAATATCACTCTCCAAATAAAAATGGCAGCAATTCTCGTGAGCGCTAAAGTTTCTGTTTTTTACAGCATGATCGCAAAGACTTTCCCCAAGTCTTCCCAAAGGTTCTACTTGGCACAAACACTAATTAAAAGCATAAAACCACATCTAAACAGAGGCTAGATAAATTATTTATTACTAAACAGGAACAAAAAGCAAGTAATAAAAATAAAGTTGGGTTGCCTCCCAACAAGCGCAATCGTTTAACGCCCCTAGCTAGGCATGATGAATTCAATGATGCTCACATAAAGGATAAGAATTGAAACATAAAGAGAGCATCATGAAGAATATTACTAGCACATTTAAGTCTAACATGCTTCCTATGCATAGGGATTTTGTGAGCAAAAATCTTGTGGGAACAAGAATCAACTTTCATAGGAAGGTAAAACAAGCATAACTTCAAAATTTTAAGCACATAGAGAGGAAACTTGATATTATTGCAATTCCTACAAGCATATATTCCTCCCTCATAATAATTTTAAGTAGCATCATGAATGAATTCAACAATATAACCAGCACCTAAAGCATTCTTTTCATGATCTACAAGCATTGAAACTTCATTACTCTCCACATAAGCAAAATTCTTCTTATTCAGAATAGTGGGGGCATCACAAGAGACTCGAATACTATAAATTGTCTCCACATTAAAAGAGTAATGTTTAGAGAAGGGGTAATCATAATCATGACAAGTTTAATAAATATAATCACTACTTTTTATAGCATAAGTATCATCACAATAATCATCATAGGTAGGAGGCATGCTATTATCATTATAAATTTGCGTATCAAAACTTGGGAGACTAAAAATATCATCTTCATTAAGCGTAGCATCCCCAATCTTAGGAAAAACATTAATTGCAGCAAATATATTCTCAAATATGTCATCCTCATCAAACATAGCTTCCCCAAGCTTGGGCCTTTTCATATCATAAGCATAATCACTCTCATCATTAATAGTATAGATAGCACCGATAGTATAGAAATTATTACATTCTTCCAAGCAAGTACCAAAAAGATTTTCAAGATCATAAGAAGTATCATTATCTTCCCAATCATAATCATCACAACAAGCAATAGGCATAACGAGATCATCATCAAGTGTATCATCTTCATTTTCATGAGGCACATCAATAATAGGAGCAACTTTATTTGGAAGAGATACCTTTTTACCTCTCTTCCTTTTTCTTTTCTTCTTCTTTGCCACATCATGTGTGGGTTCAATCCTCTTTTTGGAGCTCCTTATTAATAAGATTGGTTGGATAGAAAGCTCCTCCTCGTTACCTGATTCATCATAAGAAATAATAGCAGGATATTGGGAAGTCTCTTCCCTTTCATTAGTATTCTCTTCATCCTCTATTTGTTTTCTTTTTTATGTAGTTGGCAATATAAGGATTTTCAATACAATTCACCGCAAATACATATAAATTTCCTCTAGATCAAAATCAAGAACTCTATCAAGATTAAACTTTGGAATACCCTCAGTTATACATTTCATTTCTTCATAACCCAAAAGAAGGCTAAGCTCTTTATGATGCTCAAGGGTAATAAAATTATCACAATGTTTGGACATGACTTGATCATGAAACAAATAGCATTGGAGCTTTAAATGACCATGTTCATTGCAAAGTTCACAAGGGGCACGAAAAATATTGAATCTTTCAGCACATTCTTCTAGCTCTTCTTGCAACAATTTAGTTTCTAAGTACTTATGCTTCTTGCAATATCTATCTTCTCTATTTGGTGTGTACTTACAAACCCAATGCACTCCACAAAAATTGACATGTTTATAGGAGACATTTTCATCATAACTAGTGCAATCATCATTAGAGTCATGGATATTCAAAGAATTCGTACTAACAACATTGCAATCATGCTCATCATTCAAATATTTAGTGCCAAACATTTTAAAGATCTCTTCTTCTAGCACTTGAGCACAATTATCCTTTCCATCATACTCACGAAAGATATTAAAAAGGTGAAGCGTATGAGACAAACTCAATTCCATTTTTATAGTTTTCTTTTATAAACTAAACTAGTGATAAAACAAGAAACTAAAAGACTCGATTGGAAGATCTAAAGATATACCTTCAAGCGCTAACCTCCTCGGCAACGGTGCCAGAAAAGAGCTTGATGTCTACTACACAACCTTCTTCTTGTAGACGTTATTGGGCCTCCAAGTGCAGAGGTTTGTAGGACAGTAGCAAATTTCCCTCAAGTGGATGACCTAAGGTTTATCAATCTGTAGGAGGCGTAGGATGAAGATGGTCTCTCTCAAGCAACCCTGCAACCAAATAACAAAGAGTCCCTTGTGTCCCCAACACACCCAATACAATGGTAGATTGTATAGATGCACTAGTTCGGCGAAGAGATGGTGATACAAGTGGTATATGGATAGTAGATATGGGTATTTGTAATCTGAAATTATAAAAACAGCAAGGTAACTAATGATAAAAGTGAGCGTAAACGGTATTGCAATGCTAGGAAACAAGGCCTAGGGTTCATACTTTCACTAGTGTAAGTCCTCTCAACAATACTAACATAATTGGATCATAAAACTATCCCTCAACATGCAACAAAGAGTCACTCCAAAGTCACTAATAGCGGAGAACGAACAAAGAGATTATGGTAGGGTACGAAACCACCTCAAAGTTATTCTTTCCAATCAATCCGTTGGGCTATTCCTATAAGTGTCACAAACAGCCCTAGAGTTCATACTAGAATAACACCTTAAGACACAAATCAACCAAAACCCCAATGTCACCTAGATACTCCAATGTCACCTCAAGTATCCGTGGGTATGATTATACGATATGCATCACACAATCTCAGATTCATCTATTCAACCAACACAAAGGACCTCAAAGAGTGCCCCAAAGTTCTACCAGAGAATCATGACGAAAACGTGTGCCAACCCCTATGCATAGGTTCATGGGCGGAACCCGCAAGTTGGTCACCAAAACATACATCAAGTGAATCACGTGATATCCCATTGTCACCACAGATATCCATGGCAAGACATACATCAAGTGTTCTCAAATCTTTAAAGACTCAATCCGATAAGATAACTTCAAAGGGGAAACTCAATTCATTACAAGAGAGTAGAGGGGGGAGAAAACATCATAGGATCCAACTATAATAGCAAAGCTCGCGATACATCAAGATCGTATCACCTCAAGAACACGAGAGAGAGAGATCAAACACATAGCTACTGGTACATACCCTCAGCCCTGAGGGAGAACTACTCCCTCCTCATCATGGAGAGCACCGGGATGATGAAGATGGCCACCGGAGAGGGATTGCCCCCTCCGGCAGGGTGCCGGAATGGGTCTAGATTGGTTTTTGGTGGCTACGGAGGCTTCTGACGGTGGAACTCCCGATCTATTGTCTGTTTTGGAAGTTTTAGGGTACGACGATATATATAGGTGTAGGAAGTACGTCGGAGGAGCCACGGGGGCCCCACGAGGTAGGGGGCGCACTCCCCACCCTCGTGGGCAGCCCGTATCTCCCCTGACGTGCACTCCAAGTTCCCTGGGTTGCTTTCCTTCCAAAAATAACTTCTCCAGTTGATTTCGTTCCGTTTCGACTCCGTTTGATATTCCTTTTCTTCGAAACACTGAAATAGGCATAAAACAACAAATCTGGGCTGGGCGTCCGGTTAATAGGTTAGTCCCAAATATAATATAAAAGTGGAAAGTAAAGCCCAATATTGCCTAAAACAGTAGATAATATAGCATGGAGCAATCAAAAATTATAGATACGTTGGAGACGTATCACGCGCCGCCAGCCGCCCCTTCCCGCTCCTCCGCCGCTTCCCCGCTGCCGGAGGGGACACCGACGAAGCCCACGTGGTCCCCAGGGAAGGTGGCAGCGGTGCGTCCTCGTCGTTCTCGCGCAGATCTCACGGCGGCCGGTGGCGCGCGGCGGTGTTCCGGCGCCTGCTGCCCGTGGGGCGGCGTCCCTCACGGCGGCGGGGCTGGCCCTGAACGGCGCTTGGTGGTGGCCACGTGGCGGCGCGGAGGTGGGCCGGATGTGGGCTTCCGGTCCGCGTCCTCCTCATGGCAGCGCTTGCCGTTGCCCTCGGCCATGAGGCGTGGTCCGGGACGGGCCGAGCGCTGGTGGTGCTGGCCAGGACGCACGCTGGCAGCACCCTACTTTATCTCACGTCGTCTTGCTGGCCAATGGTGGTGGTCATCTTCTTCACCAGAGGCTTGGTGATCGGATCTCGAGATCCATCATCTAGTCCCGGCTGCGAGTTGGGGAGACATGGTTGCCGATGAAAACCGAGCCGTTGGCAGGCGATGGCGGCATTCTACGCCGTTACCTTGATGGAGGCATCGTCGTGTAACTACTGTTGACCAACTCGTGCTGCTTTGTGGAACACCCTAGGATCTGGTGTTCTAGACCGGACGATGGCGGCACTACGGTGTCGTTTCTCTCTTGGGAGCATCGTTTCTGGAGCAGTGCTGGAAGTCAGAGGCAGGAGGTGGAGCGGCTTCGTCTTGCACGTAGCTTCGGTGGAGATTTTAAGTCATGCCTGACTGACAGGTGCTACGATTTGTCATGCCTGGTCGGCAGGTGCTACGCACGACAGTTCTTCCAAAGACTTCAAGCTGTGTCGCTTGTTGGTACTTGGCAGCATGGTGCTGAGGTGTATCAGTCGCAACCACGACGTGCACAACTGTTTGCGCGCAGGGAGGAGGTGCCGTTGGGCGCCGTGGTGGCGTCGATGATAGCTACACTGAGCAAGGTTGATGCATCAGTACAGATCTGAAGATGGAGCGGTGGCAGTTGGCGGCGGCGGCCTTTGAGAGCGCGCCGGACCGGCGAGACCCATGCCCGGCAGGCGTCCTGGATGGGTCCTCATGTCTTAGATGTTAGGTTTGGCTGCGATGTCTGTTTGGTATTAGGCCAGGCTATCTGCACCCCTTCATCAACTGGATAGGTGTAGCTACAATTTGTTGCTTAGATGGCGGCTTTAATCTTACTGTGGTATTACTTTGTAAGGTCTTGTGAGAATAATTAATAAAGTGGTCGTATGCATCGCCCAGATGCAGAGGCCGGGGTCATCCTCCTTTTCTAAAAAAATCATTTGGCATCGCCTTCATAAGTGTTTGTTAATTTTATTAATGTTACCATTTCACCTGTAAACATTCACATGCTCGTGAGCCTTTTTCCGCGTGTTTGGTGGCAGCAGGCAATTTTGCACTAGATACAACTTGCCTCCCAACACTTATTTTTTGTTGTAGATTACTCCATGTTTTGTGAGAAGATACAATATATATTTTATTTTTTTAACGATATATATATATATATGTTTTTGCTCTGTCTCTTTTGTTCCCCTTTCTCTTCAATCTACCCTTGTAAAGTGTAGTATCTGTTGTCTTTGCAGTCAGTAAGAAGACTGGTGCACTGAAGATTGCACTCCCAGTCATGGCAAGTCTACTGATACTTGTGTGCATTTGTCTTGTCTGGATACGCAAGTCGAGAGGTTGAACAAGATTCGATTATATATCCAAGTTAATGCCATCTTAATGCATTAGTGATTAACATACTGATATTAATTCCTGGCAGGCAAGGACCAAACCAAGGCACCCATGATTTATGCGGTGCCGGAACAACTGGGCAGTTCTGATGTACTATACGATCATAATTCAGAATTTCTGTGGATTAGCTTCAATGAAATCATCCCTGCTACAGATGGTTTCTCTGACTCCAATGTGCTAGGAAAAGGAGGCTTTGGCATAGTATACAAGGGAACATGAATTTCACTTGGACGATTATAGTATTGAAAGGCATTCTTTCATTATTAATCTGAGTTATGCAACCACGTAGGGCACACTGGAAGGTGGCAAGGAAGTTGCTGTTAAAAGGCTTACCAAGTGTTCTGATCATGGAATGGGGCATTTTAGAAATGAAGTAGTTCTTATTGCAAAACTGCAGCACAGAAACTTAGTTAGACTTCTTGGTTACTGCATCCATGGAGCTGAGAACCTTCTTATTTACGAATACTTGCCCAACAAAAGCTTAGACTACTTCCTATTTGGTATGTCCTAATCATGTATAATGATTCTTACGATGAGCAAATGAGCATGCCTGATTTTAAGACTTAACATATTGTCGGCATACAGATGATGCTAAAAGATTTATGCTTGATTGGCCAACAAGGTTTAGCATAATCAAAGGGGTAGCTAGAGGACTTGTGTACCTCCACCATGATTCTAGAATGACGATAATTCACAGAGATCTCAAAGCAAGCAATATCTTGTTGGATGCGGAAATGAGACCCAAAATATCAGATTTTGGCATGGCAAGGATCTTTGGTGACAACCAGCAACAAGCAAATACTAGGCATTTTGTTGGGACATAGTGAGTATTAATTCTTGCACTGGACTAAACATGCTTAAAAACTCTTTATGTGCTTCAACTAATTAATTCTTGTACACTTGTGGAACTATTCAAACAACGGCTACATGTCACCCGAATATGCGATGGAAGGCATTTTTTGGTCAAGTCCGACACATATAGCTATGGGGTCTTGCTACTGGAGATCGTAAGTGGGTTGAAGATGAGCTCACCTCAACATTTCCCAAACCTTATAGATTATGTAAGTACTACCAAATGCTTTGAATTTGGCCTGCTCATGTACTCTTATATTTTGATATAGAGGGAGTACAACATAGCGAGTGTAGGTACTAACTTATTATCGACCATGTTTCAGGCATGGAACTTACTGAAAGAAGGAAACTCGAAGGATTTCCTAGATACTGTGCTGCTGAACAGCTGCTCGCTGCATCAAGTGTCGTTGTGCATCCATATCGCATTATCGTGCGTTCAGGGCAGCCCGAGTGGCAGGCCGCTCATGTCGCTAGTAGTCTCTATGCCGGAAAACGAGGCCATGCCACTCACGATGCCAAGGCAGCCTTCGTATTTCGTTGGAAGGAGACATGAAGCGGAAGAAGCGAGGGAGGGCTCTGTTAACAGCGCGGGCCTGACGACGCTAGTAGGACGCTAGATGCTCTGCCTAGCATCAGCTATGCTTCTCTACAATGTGGTGACCTGAGTGCCCTGGAACATCAAAGGAAGCAGATTACCGTTGACTGCCAAGTGGGTTTCAGTAACCAGCTGCAGGTGGTGCTCCAACGGTCGGTTTAAAATTAGGGTCAATTCCATTTTCCCCCTAATCTTGCCCCAGTCTCAGCTTTACCCCTAAAAAAAGCATGTGCTCAACTTTGCCCCTCTTTCATCTGGTGCCACTTCAGAAATACCCCTCCACGCCGTTTCCGTCCAGTCAAAGTGGTTTGACCGTTTTAGGGACAATTTTGGGACAAGTTTGCCCCTACTTACATGTGGGGGCTGACCGAACAGTTATCTCTCTCGATTTTCTTCTTCCTCTCGACGCTAAGAACAAAGTGTAGGAGGAGGCGGCTGCTCAGGCCATTTCGACAGCTCGGTGCTGGAGAGCTAGGAAAGGAAGATGGCGTCCATGTTCTCGATGGCTCAGTGCTTGGTGACTTCAGCCGCGGAGGACGAGGTTAGTAAAGTCTGCATATTTGGGGATTTCAGATCTAGGGTTTGTGCGGATTTGGGATTTTTTAGCCATGTGCATCCGATTTTGTTTGTAGGTGGATGGTTGTGGCATTGTGCAGTTTAGTTCAGAGCATTTCATTCCCAATCCCATCTTCTGTGGCCTTGAGGAGCGCTCGAAGCGTAGATGCCCAGGGCATGGGCTAGTTCCGGCTCGCCGTGTAGCTTGGGGAGGAGCAAGCACTGGTAGACGTTTTTTGGGTTGTCCAGTTAATGTAAGTGCTATATTTCCCTCAATTTGATATATTTTTTGCCGAATTGATGCTAAGGTTTCAGTTTGACATTATTTTTGAACTATGCTTTTGCAGCTTCCCGATGAATGTGATTGGGTTGTATGGATTGACCCCCCTCCTACTGACTATGTTGGGCTTGCTTTTGAGGATTTACATGCTACCCTTGAACACAGTTGGATCAAAGCAAGCAATCTGGAGAGGAGGGTTGTGGATCTTACCACTAAAAACAAGAAGTTGAAGCAAAAGTTGAAGAAAAAGAATGAGCTGATGGAAACAATGTGCTTTGTCATTGTTCTTGGCATAAGCATTGTGGCTAGTCTTGTTTCTGTGTGGTCAAATTATGCTATTGAAGTGTTTGTTGATGTAGGTTATGTTGTTATGTTCTGGAGCCTTTATGTAATGGAGCCTTTATATAATGGTGTGAACTATGAAATTGTAGTAGATGTTCTGGAGCCTTTATGTTATGTTCTGGAGCCTTTATGTTCTGGAGCCTTTATGAAATGTCCCTTTATATAATGGTTATGTTGTTAATGTGGTTTAAATCCTGTATGAATGCACATTGGGGTACTTTTGGCTAGTGATGTTTCCATGTGGTAAATATGAGCACAAATATATATCAATCCAGGGGCAAATATGAGCACACAAATATAGCACAAGGGCAAATATGAGCACACGAGTGTAGCACATGGACAAATAGGAGCACAGAAGTGTAGCACAATGACAAATATGAGCATAGAAGTGTACCACAGGGCAAATATGAGCACATTACACAGGAGTTCACAACAGTTTGACAACATGCAAAGCAACACACATCAGTTAACACATTACATCTAACATAGCAGTTCATCACTCTAGTTGAACAGAACCAACATTAAGCTGATCACACTAGTTTGGCCCTCTTGCTCCTAGTGTTGGCAGTAGGATTTGCAGCTTTGCTCCTTGTGCTGACAGCAGAGTTGCCGCCTTTCGCCTTCTTCTATGGTGATCCCCACCTAGTTCCTCTCTCAGCAGCTCTTTTAGTACATTTCTTTGGACTGAGAAGCATTAAACAATCAAGATGAGTACGAAATAATGAAGTTACACAAAGAATGCATGAACATGTAGTAGAAAACATACCCGACAAGTGCTATTGGAGAGCTTGGAGCTGGTGCAGAGCTTGGAGCAGTTGGTGGAGAGCTTGGAGCTGGTGGAGAGCTTGGAATAGTTGGCAGAGAGGTTGTAGCAGATGGTGGAGAGCTTGGAGCAATTGCAAGAGCATTTTCTGGAGCATTTTCTGCACCCCAATGCTCATCTTCTCCAAATGCAAGATCAATTGACTCTTTGCAATGGGTGCCTCTGTGACCAAGTCTGCCACATCTACTGCATTTCTTTTGCCTTCCTCCAAGACCTTTTCCTTCTGCCTGTTCCCTTATCCTAGTTTTCCTTGGTCTTCCAGGTGGTCTATTTTGCACTGGTGCACACAGTTTAAACCCAGTATCAACAATGTCCCACTGCTGCTTCCCCTTCATTGCAGGCAAATTCTCTGCATAAGTAAGATTGAATCTATGCACCGAGTAAAATACATGCACATACTGATCAATCTCACTTGCTGGACCTCTGAGTGAAGTAATGAAGTATAATGCATGAATGCAAGGTTGTCCAGTGATTTGCCATTTTCGGCAGCTACAAGTTTGTGCTTGCAGATCAACAGGATACCTCCACTCCCTCTTCTCTTTATCAATTGCAGTCACCTCTGCCTCATGAGTACTTCTCTTAACAATGCTCATATCTAAGGTCTTTGATTTTTCCATTAACTGTTTCATCACTTTGGGGACTATGATATGCCCTCCATAAGTGCCAGCAGAAATGCTTTGCCTTAGATCAAATTTCTCCATTAAGACTTGCCTAATTTTGTCTAGCAGGTCTACAATGTGTAGTCCTTTCCATTTTCTGATTTTGGAATTGAAAGACTCTGCAAGGTTATTGTTCACATAATCTAACTTGCACTTCTCATTGAACAGTGCCCTGGCCCATATCTTGCTGTGATGTTCATCCAGATAATCTTTTACATCTGGCTTGCTATACAACTGCCTGAGATGGTAATTGTGTTTCTTTAAGCTAAATGTTAGGGAACAGGGCCACAAGTTCTCATCAAAAAAATTCCCTTTAAACTTCTTGGTGAAGTTTGCAACTAAGTGCCTCATGCATTCTCTATGCTCTACTCCAGGGAAAACGTCATCTACAGCTGCCTCTAATCCTTTACAGGCATCAGTGTGTATGACTAGACCATCTGGGTGGCCTATCAGGTTTTTCAAGTGGTCAAAGAACCATGTCCAACTCTCCAGGTTCTCTACCTCTAGCACACCATATGCAACTGGAAATATCCAGTTGTTTGCATCTACAGCACAGGCACTGACTAGTTGTCCTTTGAACCTACCATTGAGTGCAGTGGCATCTACCGCCAGATATGGCCTACAACCTTCTAAAAAACCCTTCCACCATGCCTTAAATGACACAAACACTCTCCTAAAGCACTCTTTGGACCTGCTCTGACCATTCTTTTCAAACTGAACAGTGTGCCTATCAATGTGAACTACACTACCAGGTGATGCTTTCTCTACCTCAGCCTTGAATGTGTACAATAATTGAAAACTGTCAGTCCACTTACCATAGATGTTGTCAATGGCCATCTTCTTACCATAAAATACTCTCATGTATGGCAGCTGCAATCCATACTTCTTCTTCAAGTCAATTTGAAGTTGTGTGACCCTTATATTGGAGTTTTCTTTCACCCAGTTCTTAACTGCATCTGCAATCCATCTGCACTTTGCTGATCTCAACCTTTGTCTTCTTGTCACACTTGGGCATGTGTGAGGATTTCTGTTTACTTTGACCTGTAGTTAAACATTATAACAAGGATCAGAATCATAAACAACATAGCAATCATAAGGAACATGCACAGTTAACTGTTAGTGTACCTGAAATAGTTTGGTATTTTTCAAAAAGGATGCATGCATCCTCCACTTACACCTTTTATATGCACAATGTATTGTTAGCCTACCAGGCTCACTCTTGTCAATTTTGAATTCACTCTGAGTCTTGATTGCATAAGTGGCTAATGCATTTCTGCACTCTACAACATTAGAGAATATAGTTCCTTCTGCAAGAGAAGGATCATCTCTGTTAAAATGCACATCTGGCCTGGCCTCATCAGAACTCTCAGAATAACCCATGTCATTGTCCTCCTCTCTCTCATCTGAATATGTCTCAGCAAACTCTGGAGGGGAAATGCAATCATCTTGTTGAGCTGCTTCCTTCCCCTTTGGCTTCTTCCCTATTACAAATCCAGGATGCATTAATTCATCCTCATCATCGGTTGGTACATCATCAGGTTGTTCCTCTTCTATGATTGGATCAGCATCTGGTTGCTTGCTACTGCTAGGACCTGGTTCATGCACAACACTAGTTTCTGAATTTCTTCTTCCACCTGAACTACCTCTGCCACCTGAATTCCTTCTTGCACCTGAACTACCTCTGCCACCTGAATTCTCTCTTGCACCTGAACTACCTCTGCCACCTGAACTCCCTCTTCCTCTTGTTTGACTGCACCTAGCTTGAGAACTATGAGCTTGAGATCTAGTTCCTCTCCTCTCAGTCTCTCCTCTAAGCCTTTGTATCACATTAATTTCTAAATCTATTGTCTTAGTTTCAGCATTGGTTGCAAACATAATTCCCAATTCATCATCAGACTACACTGGCACCCAATTAGTATTTCCCATGTCCCAATACCTAAATTCTACAGCATCATAGAGGCCCCATGGATATTTATCTGAGATTGCAGATCTAAACTTCACAAATGTTGATGTGCAATCAACTACAAGACGAAAATTAAACCCTGTGCCAGATCCTTTTGTACCAGAAGTGCCTAACACGGCGGTTTCTATCCTACAGTTGAGATAGAAAGCTCTAGCTGGATCCATCCTACGGTAAATGTTGAGAAAAATTAGAGGAAGGCAAAGACAGTGAGCATAGCAATTGTGCGAGTAACCTAATGGAGACACTTACCCCGTTGGAACAGTTGGTGTGGTCGCCGCTGTGGTCTGAGAGCTCTCAGCTCTGCCGCTGCCGGCACCACTTCCACGAACGGCAGCTATCCGCGAAATCCCTCGGTGAAGAGGAGCGGCGGGTCAGATCCAGCCGCCGCGCATCTCAATCCCCATGCTATCCCTCCGCGGCGGCCGACGGCGAACCAAATCGTGGGCGGGCTAGGGTTAGGGTTCAAGTCGCCAGAGAGAAGAGAAGAGATGAGAGGAGAGGATATCTGTGAGTGAGTGACTCTGTCCGAAGGGCCCCACATGTAAGTACCAGGGGTAAGTTGTCCGAAATGTGTCTCCTACACGGTCAAACCACTTTGACTGGACGGTAAGGGCACGGAGGGGTATTTCTGAAGTGGCACCAGACAGAAGAGGGGCAAAGTTGAGCACTTGTTTCTTTTAGGGGTAAAGATGAGGGTGGGGCAAGATTAGGAAAAAAAATGTAAATGTCCCTTAAAATTACTGGTGTTCTAGCTTTGATTCTTTGACTGTTAAACTTGTCAAATGGTGCTCAAATGCAACTGAGGCTGAACTTTCAGCTTGTTTAGAAGGACTCATCAGGTTTGGTGCTTGAGTGGCACAGGCACCCAGCCTTGCTGGAAACCGATCGCTCTGCTGATGTCCAAGCCATTCTCTTGCACGCTGAAAATCCCTCAGAAAAAGGTCAAAAGGGAGGGAAAGGAGGTTGCGCATTCGTTAGCTATCCGAATATATATCATATGAAAAATATTTCATGATGAATCTAATGGTATTGATTTGGTATTGTAAATGCTGATATTTTTTCTATAAACTTGGTCAATGTTGACAAAGTTTGGCTTTGAAGAAAAAGCTCACATGCAACTATAATTTGGCAAGGAGGGAGTAGAGAAGAGTTGAGTAGGGCGGTCATGCATAATTCTGCTCCATCCCGCGTGTCAGAAATAGTTGTGTGAGATTGTAATAAGCTGATAACGTTGTTACCTGAGTGGTCTAAATCCCCCGTTCAGATTGAAGATATTCATGCCTTCGGCTTATGTACCATGTGCATATTTTAGTAGATTTTATTTTTTAAAATTACAAATTTCAGTTTTTCTGTAGGGAAAATTGCAAACTTAGCAATGCAACTGCATAATGCAGCAAATTTCAAAAAAGCAGAAAACTCAGTTGGAAGCAGAGAAGGGCATACAATGGGGCCAGATTAGAGCCCATCGAGATCTAGCTCTTTTGATACCGCCATGAATTTTTTTAGATTTTACTATTCATGGTGGTAGCATACGAGCTAAAACTCGGATGGGCACTTTCAAACACTTTTTTCATGCATGCAAATGACACTGACATATAGGTGATGTTTTTCCGAACATTTTGGTATCTTATTTGCATTTTCTGATTTAGTATGAATTAGTTATGAAGTTTTCAAACTGACGGTCAAACGGCCAAAGGGCAAAATCATAAGAGGAGCGAAGTGACTTGGACAGAAGCGGTGACTTTTGGAGATTAGGGGTAAAACAGCCGAGTGGGACACAACTAGGGGCATAAATCTAATTATTCCTTAAATAAACTATTTATGTGCTTCAACTAATTATATTTTTTGTACTTCCTTCCGAAACTGTTCAAACAACGGTTACATGTTGCCCGAATATGCGATGGAAGGCATTTTCTCTGTCAAGTCCGACACATACAGCTATGGGGCCTTGCTACTGGAGATTGTAAGTGGGTTGAAGGTCAACTCACCTCCCCATCTTATGAGGGACTTCCCAAACCTCGTAGATTACGTAAGTGCTAGCAAACCAAATGCTTCAAATTTGGCCAACTCAATTACAGTACAACAAATATATTCACTGATCATCCTCGACCATGTTTCAGGCATGGAACTTACTGGAAGAAGGAAAATCAGGGGATTTCATGGACACGGTGCTTCTAAAGAGTTGTTCACTTCATCAAGTGTCGTTGTGCACCCACATAGCATTATTGTGTGTTCAGGACAGCTCAGGTGCCAGGCCACTCATGTCGGTAGTCGTGTCTATGCTGGACAACGAGGCCATGCCAGTCATGACTCCAAAGCAACCTCTGTATTTCATTGGAAGGAGACATGAAGCAGAAGAAGCGACGGAGGACTCCGTTAACAGCGCGGGCCTGACAATGCTAGTAGGACGGTAGATGCCTAGCATCAGCTATGCTTCTCTGCAATTTGGTGACCTGGGTGCCCTGGAACATTGAAGGGAAGCAGATTATGATCTTCTGGCAAGCGGGTTTCAGTGACCTGCTACAGGTGGAGAGGCCTCTTTCACTTTGGTTTAAAGTTAGTGTTGATTCTAGCTTTGATCCATTGACTTCTAAATCTGGTGTTGATGCTATAAATTTGGGACAGCACCGGTGGCTCTGTTCTTGCTGCTTGGAATCAACTGCAGGGGTGCTCAAAATGTTTGGTGGTGTTTGTTGTCTCCGATCAAGGTGTTCTCCTTGAGCACGGGAGTTTGTGGTTGTTGCGTGTTGGGGACGGTTGATGAGTCGACCGTGTGGTCGTAGAGTTTCATGATTTGTGAGTAGCCCGCATGTGGCTTGTTTGCATCGGTTTTTGTCTGGTTTTCCATTAATTAACTGGGAAATTCTCTTCTTTATTAATCCATGAGGCAAATCTTTGTCTCCATTTCAAACAAACAAAAAATGCAACTGAAGCTGAACTGTCAGCTTGTTTAGGACTTGTAATAGGATAGGTGTTTAGTTTCCTATCTTCTTTTTTGCCTGCCGGTTGTGGCTATCCTGTTCCTTTATATTTTTTCTCTATGTGAGCTTTTTTTCCTTTTGAGACCTGAAGACTTTGTTGAACCTTTTGCTTATTAATAATATGGCCATATGCATTGTTCTGATGCAGAGGCCGGAGGATAACCTCCTTTTCTAAAAAGAAAACAAGAACCAAACCTTGGTTGAAACTCATTGCTCTGTTGCTGCTAATGTCCAACCTATTATCTTGCACGCTGAAGATCGCTCAAGTTACATGAGGATTTGTAAAGAAAATAAAGCAATCATGGCCGTTTTGCCTGACATCAAAGTTAAAAAGGCCAGAAGGTTTAGAAATAAGTGAGTGAACAACTCGATCAAACTAAAACATATTTGAACAATGACTGTAAGAAATACAAATATGTTTCCACTGGATAAATATAACAGTCACATTGTAAATATAACTATTTTGGGATTTGTTTTATATCTGTGATGATGAGCAATCAGTCACAGGTTGATGAAGCTAGGGATGACTCTTTGCTAAGGTCGTCTTTCAGAAGAGGTTTTGAGCCTAACCTAATGTGTAGATGGTGAGTTGTTACTTGTGGTTCGGTTCAAGCTTTAATCAAGTCTATCATGGGATTTGAATGTTTAATGCATCAGGCTCTCGCTATATTAGCTTTTTAAATCATACTCTGTTAGGACAAAAAAAGTGCATGAAAATAGTAACTGAGTGTGCACAAAAACTCTTACAACCACGAGAAATAATAAGTGTGAATTCATAAGGAGCAAAACACATATAGACAATTGTTCGGATGCGATTTAGGTTCTTTGCCATTTAGTTACTTGGGCATACCGGTTCACCCTCGCAAGCTTTCTAATAAAGAGTGGAAATGCATCGAAGATCGAATTGAAAAGAAGCTTAGCTGTTGGAAGGGCAAGTTAATATCGTACGATGGTAGGCTAGTGCTTATTAACTCAGTACTTACTAGTATGCCTATGTTCCTGCTATCCTTATTTGAGGTACCCAAGGGGGTATGGAAGAGACTAGATTTCTTTCGATCTCGATTCTTCTGGCAGTCAGATGAGGCCAAGAAGAAATATCGCCTAGCACGATGGGATATAATATGCCGGCCCAAGGATCAGGGAGGGCTAGGTATTGAGAACCTGGAAATTAAGAATAAATGCCTTATGAGTAAATGGCTTTATAGGTTATGATGCGGAGCATCCTTCCATCATCCCCATGGACTCTACACCAACACATCAAGCCCCACGTGGACCTGTGACAAGAGCGAGAGCACCTGCTTTGGAAACCGAGGTGAACTCCTTCCTACTTGAGTTGCATACGGATACGAATGGGACTTGGTTGCTACCTCACCAAAATATGCTATGTCTCATTAGGTACAAAGAGGAACACCACCATGAAGCTCAGGAGCACCACCAAGGAGAAGGAGGACCACCCCAAGGCCACGCGAACCAAGACGGTGTGCAATAGCAGCAACACTGGAAGTCCCAGGTGACCCCGTGCGCACGGGCCTCCGAAACCCCGTGCCCACGGATTGCCCATGAAGTTGGCGCTGGAGCACCCCGTGCGCACAGGCGTGTACCGTGCACAAGGGACCCCCGTGCGCACGGGCCCAACTTACCCCGTGCGCACGGGCCTCCTAGGATGGCCGGTTGAGATTGCCCTTCGCCCTCCTCTTCATCTCTTTCAACCCCAAGGCTATATAAGTCGTACCTAGAACCATGTTTAGGGTTAGCAAAGTATACAAGAGAGATTAGAGAGCTTTGCTCCTTGTACCCACTCCTCTAGGAGATCAAGACCTCCTAGGAGAAGATCCCTAGTGGATATGAAGCCCCCATCTTGGGAAGGATCCCCATCATAGGATCATCAAGACATCTCTCCTCTTAGGATTGGGATGAACTAGTATCTTGTATCTTTGCTTTGTTGTTCTTGAATCATTATGACCTCTTGTATGTTCTTGGATCTAGCATATGTGTGATTGGATCTAGTCAATTTGAGTGTTTTCCCTCTCTTGTGTTCTTCATGTTCTTCGTGTTCTTGGGGATCCCCCCTCCAATTTGTGAAAGATCTCCACTTAGGGTTCCACCCTATAACAGGTTATCTGTAGATACTGATGGTATGTGGGCTCAGATATTACACAACAAATATCTGCAATCAAAAACTCTTGCCCAAGTCATCGTGAGGCCGAATGATTCGCCGTTTTGGAAGGGGCTTATGAGAATGAAAGACTTGTTCTTTCGTAGGACCAAATTTATTATTGGCAATGAGATGATGATGTCTACTACACAACCTTCTTCTTGTAGACGTTGTTGGGCCTCCAAGTGCAGAGGTTTGTAGGATAGTAGAAAATTTCCCTCAAGTGGATGACCTAAGGTTTATTAATCTGTAGGAGGCGTAGGATGAAGATGGTCTCTCTCAAGCAACCCTGCAACCAAATAACAAAGAGTCTCTTGTGTCCCCAACACACCCAATACAATGGTAAATTGTATAGGTGCACTAGTTCGGCGAAGAGATGGTGACACAAGTGCAATATGGATGGTAGATAAATGTATTTGTAATCTGAAATTATAAAAACAGCAAGGTAACTACTGATAAAAGTGAGCGTAAACGGTATTGCAATGATGGTAAACAAGGCCTAGGGTTCATACTTTCACTAGTGCAAGTCCTCTCAACAATAATAGCATAATTGGATCACATAACTATCCCTCAACATGCAATAAAGAGTCAATCCAAAGTCACTAATAGCGGAGAACAAACGAAGAGATTATGGTAGGGTACGAAACCACCTCAAAGTTATTCTTTCCAATCAATTCGTTGGGCTATTCCTATAAGTGTCACAAACAGCCCTAGAGTTCGTACTAGAATAACACCTTAAGACACAAATCAACCAAAACCCTAATGTCACCTAGATACTCCAATGTCACCTCAAGTATCCGTGGGTATGATTATATGATATGCGTCACACAATCTCAGATTCATCTATTCAACCAACACAAAGGACCTCAAAGAGTGCCCCAAAGTTCTACCGGAGAATCACGACGAAAACATGTGCCAACCCCTATGCATAGGTTCATGGGCGGAACCCGCAAGTTGATCACCAAAACATACATCAAGTGAATCACGTGGTAACCCATTGTCACCACAGATACGCACGGCAAGACATACATCAAGTGTTCTCAAATCTTTAAAGACTCAGACCGATAAGATAACTTCAAAGGGTAAACTCAATTCATTACAAGAGAGTAGAGGGGGAGGAGAAACATAAGATCCAACTATAATAGCAAAGCTCACGATACATCAAGATCGTGCTGAATCAAGAATACGAGAGAGAGAGATCAAACACATAGCTACTGGTACATACCCTCAGCCCCGAGGGAGAACTACTGCCTCCTCATCATGGAGAGCACCGGGATGATGAAGATGGCCACAGGAGAGAGATTGCCCCCTCCGGCAGGGTGCCGGAATGGGTCTAGATTGGCTTTCGGTGGCTACGGAGGCTTCTAGCGGCGGAACTCCCGATCTATCATCTCTTCGGAAGTTTTAGGGTATATGGAGATATATAGGCAGAAGAAGTACGTCAGGGGGGCCACGAGGGGCCCACGAGGGTGGAGGGCGCGCCTAGGGGGGTGGGCGCGCCCCCTGCCTCGTGGCCTCCTCGTAAGTCCCCTGGCGTGCACTCCATGTCTTCTGGGCTTCTTTCCTTCCAAAAATGAGTTCCGTGAAGTTTCAGGTCAATTGGACTCCTTTTGATTTTCCTTTTCTTCGAAACCCTAAAACAAGGTAAAAACTGAAACTGGCACTGGGCTCTGGGTTAATAGGTTAGTCCCAAAAATGATATAAAAGTGTATAATAAAGCCCATAAACATCCAAAACAGTAGATAATATAGCATGGAGCAATCAAAAATTATAGATACGTTGGAGACGTATCAGCATCCCCAAGCTTAATTCCTACTCGTCCTCGAGTAGGTAAATGATAAAAACAGAATTTTTGATGTGGAGTGCTACTTAGCATAATTTTAATGTAATTCTTCTTAATTGTGGTATGAATATTCAGATCCGAAAGATTCAAGACAAAAGTTCATATTGACATAAAAATTATAATACTTCAAGCATACTAACTAAGCAATTATGTCTTCTCAAAATAACATGGCCAAAGAAAGTTCATCCCTACAAAATCATATGGTTTGGTCATGCTCCATTTTCATCACACAAGAATGTTGTCATCATGCACAACCCCGATGACAAGCCAAGCAATTGTTTCATACTTTAGTAATATCAAACCTATAAACTTTCACGCAATACATGAGCGCGAGCCATGGATATAGCACTATGGGTGGAATAGAATAATGGGGGGTTATGTGGAGAAGATAAAAAAATAGAAAGTCTCACATCAACGAGGCTAATCAATGGGCTA